GGGACATTGCAAGGAAAAACACCCACTATAATATTGCCTGACCGAGACTCGAACCTGGGCCGCGTAGTGGAAAGCGAGCACGCTGACCAACAGATAGCCACGAGGCTCAAAAAGTTAGTATTAGTTTTAATACTTGTACTATATGAACTGCTACGTTGCGGAAAGTTCTTTATTTTTTCCAACGTCATCTCTCCCCTGTCCGCCGTCACCCCCAGTCACTGGAGTGGGAGAGGTCGACCCATCCGTGAACGCGGTCCGTCGCCGTCGCTTGCGGCCTTATCAACCCCGGCCGGTATTAAAAGCGCGGAGCCATCATATTTCTCGGCGGTTCGCTTGCGGGGCTTCTAATGAAAATCTGAAACCGCCTGGACCTGCCGTGACAGCGGTCGCAGCGTTGACGGTGAAGCTGTCGGTTCGGTGGCCAGGAATTCGCGAGTGACTGATCGCGGTTAGTGGGATATGAGACTGGAACGCGATGATGGCCTGAGAAGGTTGTGATACACGAAACGATTGCGAGATTCCAGTTTTACTTCTCTGATTCGATCACGCATTTCATTGCCGTGTTCTAGATTGAAAAAAATTACCTTGTTTACCCGAGTATTAAATGTCTCTAAATACGAGTATAAGGCAACCTCCTGATTTTGAAGAGTCATCCTCCAGAATTTTAAACTAATTCTATTTAGACAAAATAAAATTGAAAATTGTCTAATTGAATAGCCAATTTTTTGTCAAGAATGTTAAAAATTTTGCCTGAGCTGTTAGTATCTTCTTGTTTCTTAAAATCATTATCATCATAGCTTTGGTCTCAACAACCTTCTTCGCGTGAAACATTGTTTCTTTCTTTGCGATGCTCCTTCCATTCTAGGTCGCCCACTGATTTTTAGCCTCTCCCCCGATCCCCTATATACACACATGACCCTACATCCTTTCCGCTGTTGCCGCAGGAGAGAGCTAAGTTACCAACGTTTGGAAACTTTTTGCCATGAAAATACTTGTTTTATAATTTTGCCTGCGGAATTCATACTTTATCAATGTGATTTTTTTCTCATTTCCATCTCTTGCAAATCGCAGATTCGCACTCGCTGGGCGTCGAACCGAGAGTATACGCAGCCTCGTCTTAAGCGCTCGTGTAATAAAATATCGACGACGGTTTCATTAATTTTCACGTTGGGTTTCATTTAATCGTATAATGTCATTCGTTCGCGATTTTCTCATTACAACACGTTGCCACACACATGTAAACATTGCAAGCCGACGTGAAGGATGATTTCTACGCTATCACATTCCAGCTGAAGAGAAATACCGCCACTTTTCAGGATATAAAATGCACTACACTTACGGGACTTATTTATTTGAAGCGCAAGGAATCAATAATCACTTATTCACTCACTCCGAGACATTGTGGCTCTCGGTTGGTTGAGGGGATTACCGAGTTAATACGACGATAGGCCGGCGGTGGACCTCACCATCCAGAGGAAGAACACCGCAATCTTACAAGGGAAAAACATGCACAACACTTACGGAACTGATAACCTCTGTAGTTGACGCTCCTGGAATCACTAACAACCAACCAATTGAGGTAAATACCGTGTTTGTAGCAGATATCTTGTGTTAATCCATAATGTGAGAAAGGAAATAATCGTCTACAATAAAGTAGAGTAATTTTATTAATTATTAAATTCCCATTCACGTTTCTCACTTAACCGAGGTAATACAACAAATCTTCTTCGCTGCCTTCCGCCTCTTTTCTTGTCGACTCGCTTTTGGACCGAGTGCTTCGGGATTTGAAAATCACTGATTTCCGGCCATTCTTTTGAAGTGCGGATGGCGGAGAGGGCGTCGAGGGGGGGGGCGGTAATTAACACCCCGTGACGTGATTCGCGGCGCGGCGCGGCGCAGGCTGAGCGCGGGGCGAGTCGATACGCGGCCGCGTGCTGCTCCGGCCTTGCGCTGGCTGTTCCGGTCAAGCCCAGCCCAGCCCGGAAGGGAGCGCGCGCCGCGATTAGCGCCGCGCTCCGCCGCACAGGCACGCACGCGCTTCGGTTGCGGAGCAGCGAGCGCCTTTCTTCGCGTTCTGGCGCTTTCTCTCTCTGTCCATCTCTCTCCCTCTCTCTCCCTCTCTCTCCCCTCTCTCTCCCCTCTCTCCCCTCTCTCTCCCCTCTCTCTCCCCTCTCTCTTCCGTTCTCCCTCTCTTTCTCTTCCTCTCCCTCCCTCTCTTTCTCTTCCTCTCTCTCCCTCTCTCTTTCTCCTCCTATCTCTCTTTTTCCTTCTTTCTCTTTCTCCACCTTTCTCTCTCCTTTCTTTCCCACTCTTACTCCTCATATCTCACTCTCTTTCCCTCTCTCTCTCTCTCTCTCTCTCTCTCTCTCTCTCTCACACACACACACACACACACACACACACATTGTATTTCTTCTGCCCTTATTTTACTCTTTTATCTTTCCTTCCTCTTTTGTCATTTTTACATTTTTCTTGTTTATTTGCTTCCTTTCGCACTCCCTTTCTACTTTCCCTCGTTTGTTCCTGCTTTCTTCTCCCTTCCTTTCTTAGCGATCCACTTCTGTTTCTACGCTTCCTTCCTCTTCTTCCATCCTTTTCCAATTACGTCTTTCTTTCCTTTGCATATTTTCTATATGCTTCTTTCTTTTATTTCGATTCCCTTTTTCACTGTATTTATTTTCTCTTCTCGCTTTCTATTATCTTCTTTTCTTTCTAAGCTGCATTTTTACCGTTTTCTTATGATACTGTCTTCTTGTTATATTTTATAAGTTTTAATTACTAATATTAAGTGATATTATTTGAATATGTCTTTGTTTATATTTATTGCAAATCTTTGTAAGTTTCCCTTCATGGTAATGGAGGAACACGTGACAAGGTGCCATAATTCAATCTGTATGTTTCCTTCTACATCTTAGTTTTCTTTACAATAAAAAATTGTAATAACGTAGTGAAATTGAATGCAAAAATACACATTGCTGTTACATTAACTTGATGACAGCAATGCTAAACCTACGTAACTCCATGATAAATTATTAAAATGTAATTAATATCAGCGTATAGATTCGTAATTACAAAATAATGCTCGATTTATATTCGTGGAGGGTCTCATGTTTAAAAAAAGTAAATTATTGTGTGTGATATGGACAACTTATAATCTGAATTTAATTATAGCAATTTGTGCAGGATGTAATCATGATAGTGAGTGACAATCCCATAAGACCAAGTGAATATCATCACTTCATCCTTATTTGATACTTCGCCTTGTTTAATTAACACTCATCTACACAGACGCTTCGTTAATTCACAAATTTCAATTACAACTTATGTGAACTGAACTAAGAACATTATAAGACATGGCTTTGCATGTTTTATAATACTACATACATAACATTAGATGGTCTTTGTATATTCAGATTTAAAGTAGTTGCAGTTTCACGGAATATTGTTACCTTCAAAATGTCATATAAAGATTATTTTCAATAATAAGTATTCAGCGTAAAAAATATAAATTCAAATATATCCAATAAGTCCAACAACATTTATATAAGTTCACAGTGACGGAAATAACAAACATGAATAAACAGAATGAACTAAGTATACCAAATGACTTTCAATCAAGTACTCATATCTTCACGGCCTTTATCCTTACTGGTCTTGAAAATAAGTTGAAAGCAATATTTAGTTGAATTACTGAACCAACGCCTTGCGTGACCACTTCTACGTACCGTAGAACACTCCTGTATCACACTTTGCCTACCCATGCAGGCGTCCAGGTTCTCTAATAGCTCAGTTCTAGAAGGCATCCCGCATAGCACCCTTGATTATTTCTTTCCCAAATACTCGTAGCTCTTTTCGTATAATTGTTTATTTGTATGTATTATTAAGTCTCATTACAGTTATTTTTATCTCATAACCAACTAATTATGGTATATCTCATTATGAATATCAATATTTTACAACTTGAATAAGTTTATAAATACAATTTTCATGGCCTGCTTATACACCAATTTTAAAAAACACACTTCATAAATTACACCTTAGCGCCGATCGTAATTATCCTTGTTGTTTTGTTCACTTACAAGACATGTTTGACAGCCTTTCCATGAAAACCAACAGAAGTGAGACAATTGGAATTATGTAATTTGGTTTTCGTTTTGCAATCGACGAAAGGAAGTGAATAATCTTGCAAAGGCGTCAATGAAATTATTTATTTGGTTGTGAGTCACTTAAGTTCAGTTCTGTTTAGAGTAAACTGTTCTAAACGATAATGATAAATCACATTCTGATGACTTTCTTACTTCCAATCTCGTATCATTTTGTCGCATAATATGCATCGCATTTTGTCATGTAATATGCATAAAGGACCTATTTCAGGAATTATTCCTCAAATTATTTCCAAATTTTAGTTCATATCATATAGTTTTTAATGAAATTTTGGACATTAGATCGTAAATTATTTTATCATACTAAAAATATAATAATGGCTTTTATAAGGATTAATTCGTATTCAAAATAGTTTTATACTAACTACTGTTGCTCGGTTAGGGCTCGTTGTTTTATAATTATAGTTTCATTTAACCCGTTGATAAGCAGCTAACCGTATCTGCGCCTGACGCAGTCTCCGCTGGCCGTTGCGGCGCGGCGCGCGCTGACAACGTTGACCAGCTTGTGCCTCACGGCGCTCGAGGCGGTAAATATTAAACACGCGGCGGAAATTGGCACCATCCATATCCATTTCGCAGCTGACGCAGCTGCAACCTCCCTCCGTCGCCGCCCCCCCTCCCCCGCCGCTTCTCGCGCAGGCCCCGCGGTCGCCGCTCTTCTGTCATCTGTACCCCTCATGAGGAGAGCATCGCTCTCGCCCCGATTCCGTCACCGCTTTGCTATTACTCTCGATTATCAGCCAGCATTCATTGATCTTCCTTTCGTTTTCAACATTACCAGGGGGTTTCCATTACCTCCATCTCGTTTGGCCTCATTGCTTCCCTTACTCCTTATGGATGTCCTCTCTGTTCCTCGTCAACAGCATCCGTCAGTTTTACTGCGCGTGTCGCTATCAATGCTGCAGCGGCCGCTGCCAACGTATCTACTACAGGCTCCTCGCTGCCTTCGGCCTTGCCCCACCTGCTGCGTGTCAGCCATTTGGGTCGCACCCGTTGCTTCTTCTGCCCTTCGTGCCGTTTCCACCCCGCCAATGCTCCCTCGACATGCCGAGCTGCTACATTCTCATATTGAATTATGGAGGATCTCTCGCAATCGATGTTGCATTCCCGTCGCGTGACCACGGGCTTTTCTTGCAGGATCCACGTTGCGCCGCAGCTACACGATAGCGGTAGCAGTAATGTCGAATTTCCATAGTTTCCTTATGTCCCTGAAACTTAATTCGTATTATTCAAGAGAACTATGTAGGGTAGATCTATATTTCTGAAGCATTTTCTTTGGAATCAGAATAAATTCTTGTACAAGTTGCCGTTGCAGAAATATCGCGTGCTCAAACACGTGCACAGCACTATTTTCAAAGGCTATAAACTCTTCTTCTACCAGAACTTTGTTAAATATGTAAATCCAATTCATATAAATTTCGGGCTGAAGACGTCAATTATTTGTGTAGGTGTTAGATTTGAATAATTGTGGATCGAATTTCGAATGAAGTAATTGGAGTAAAATACAGCCATCGACGTAATTGACACAACGGAGTGGAAACAAAGATAGAAGTTTGCATATAAGACGAACAATAATAAACAAACATTATCTCACAAAATCACTTTTAAAAAAAAGAGAAAACTCAGAAGGGAAAGGATGAACCAGTCGAACAAAACGGTAATTTTTCTTAGAGTTTTTGCTATTTAATGTCGCATCAACTTCTAGGTCATTAGCGATCACTATTGCTTGTAACGGTATGGTAACTGTGAGGATGACACGATATGATGATGATGATGATGGGGGTGAAACAACACGAACACAATACAACCATGCCCGAGGCGGGACTCGAACACGCGATCCTTCGGTCCGAGATCGCTACGATGCTGCTGCCTTAGCGATCTCGGTCATCCGGACCGGCCAGAGATCTTTTTGTTATTGTATTGATTATATTTTATTCTTAAATGAACTGCCGTCGTTTTTTAACTCGGTGTCCTTGGGAGCTGGCGAGGGAAATTCGTCTAACGGCGGTGGCGCGCGTTGTGTTGCAGCGAAGCGGAAGAGCGCGGTGGAGCTGCTCCAGGAGACGAAGGCGTTCTACGTCAAGTCGGAGACGGTGCTGGACCGGCAGCAGCAGCTGAAGCATGCGGGCCACCTGCAGGTCACCTCCTCGGCCATGGACACCGTCTTCCTGCGCGGGCCCAGGCCCCGCAGCGACCCGGCGCCAGACCACAAGTGTAAGTTCATTGATTGCGTACTGTTGATTGTGTACGCATTGATCGCAGCTTCTGGGTCAGAGATCTCCATAGCGATCATGTTTTTCGTCCACCTTTCCGTATGCTTTGAGCGAATGCTGAGATGAATCCTTGTTTTGCTTCTGGACATAAATGTAACTTCACTATCTGTGCATTGTGTTTAAAGTTCTATGGGTAATATGGTTATTCAAATTTTCGTTCATGTTCTCACGGCAGGAAGTCCTCCCCGATTCCTTCACGAAAGGGCACGAAGAGAGATAATATCCAAACTCTGTAGCTGGTTTGTCCTTGCAAATAGTTTTTATTACACAAGAGAGGATTTTTCTTATCAATTGAAGGTAGATTTTTCGGGCTGGTAGGCCGTGGTCCAGTTGACATTGGACCACGGCGTACCAGCCCGGAAAATCTACCTTCTATTGACTCCGGCCGTGAGCGCCTACGATACTTTCTTATCAATCGTTGCCCAAAATGCTAAATTTAACTGCATTCAGAATTCAACTTGTAAACAGGTTAGGATTGGGATCCCTGAATTTCAGAACAGGTGCACAGAATACACTTCTCCCCATAACAGGTGTTAACTGTTTTTGACGTTAAATAAATAATGAAAAAGCTGGGCACGCTTTCCATTCATAGCATCGCCACCACATTCGAGTCTCCTTACGCTCTCCAAGACACTGTTGTTTTTCTCGTGTGAAGAATGCTTTGCCTTCCTGCGCAGACATCCACCCGCACGTGCTGCTGCTGAGCCCGGCGGTGGCGCCGGCGGTGGCGCCTCGCGCGGTGCCCCTGGCGCCGGCCCCCGC